ACTAAGCATATACAGTATGTTAGGTAATTTTTATTTACCTAGTTATAACCATAGGCGAGTACACAAGGCGCTCCATTGCTGCAGGTGATTTGGTCAAAATCACTGATACAGGTCCCCCTCCACCCTCTGAGGATATGTATAACTTAATATTATGTCTCCAGAGAAACCTGGATTCAAATAAATATTTTTTTGTAGGTTTGCCCTAGAATAACTACACACAAATACAGATCTCTGTGTAGATTCAGAGCGTATCAGAGTTCTGAATTGCAGTTCTATCAAGTATTTATACTAGTGACAGACTTTGTATACCATTGGCAGATTTCTATATGCACAAAAATAAGGTTATTTTGGTTTTGTACACAGTCATATGATACGTGGTATAGAAAAGTACAATCTTAGTTGAGTACATGGGGAGCTATATATCTCTGTAGGTGATCAGTCTATCTGGTTAAAATCACTGATGCAGGTCCCCCTCCACCCTCTGGTGGTATGATAACTTGTTATTATGTCTCCAGAGAAACCTAGATTAAAATAAAGGTCCTATCTATCACGTTACTATAGGCGGAATTAGGTGTTTTTGGCTGAGGTCAAAATGACCCCATAGGACTTGAAGTTAATTTTGAAACAGAAACACTAAACCATGATTTAGTTAAAGGTCCAATGCAGCCATTTTTTCTCAATATTTCTGGGTAACAATGAAGTACCTTACTGTGGTTGTTTTCAATTAAAATGTTTAAAAATAAACAAAAATAGCTTCTTAGCAAAGAGCAATTTCTCAAGCAAGAATTTTGCTAGGACTGTCTGGGAGTGGTCTGAGTTCGGGAGGGGAAAACTGAACATCAGCTGTTATTGGGAGAGAGGTTTGGAACTCTCTTTCCTATTGGTCTATTAACTAATTTACCACCTGGTGATGTCACCAGGCAGGCCAAACCTCCATCCCACCAAAACAGGCTGAAATTTCAGGTGGTCTTTTCAAACAGCTCTTTCACTAAAAGGGCATAATCCTTTTTTTCTCTCACAATTTCACAGTATTATTTAAACCTTATAGTGTGGAAATATATATAAAACACAGGAAAATTATGTTTTTGACTGCACAGGGCCTTTAAGAACAAACATTGAATATTGAAGTGAGACTGTGAGATCTTGTTGTGATTATACTAATATCGGTCTAGAGCCCACAACCATAATAAGGTGATGATTTGAGTTTAAGTGCAGGGCTGGAGCAAAAGCCTATACATATTGCGGCCCTCAAGGACACGAGTTGATCATCCCTTGTATACAGGCATATTATTAACGTGCATCTCAATTCAATAATTTGGCTTCCTCTTCTCCTTTCCTTCATTCGCAATGATTTGAAAACACGATAGATGAAAACAATTAGGTAGATTCCTACTGTGAATTTGCTTTCACCAATCCAGGTCTTTCAAATCAGTGCATCTGAAGTTAAAGAGCCAAGAGGAAGCCGGCATAGACATCTGAGATGCAGAATTATTTTCACAGATGGCTTCCTCTCCTGCAAAGACTAGTTTCGAGCGCCATCTAGGGGTGATATAAATGGTTGCTTGAAAGTGCCCTCTACTGTATGTCAAGATTAAAGTTAACTATCTGTAAAGATATAACAGAGATGAATAGATCTTAATGGTTTATTACAATGAAAAATAATATATTGACAGGGGTCTCCATATTGACTGACTGCTTTATACTCTCACATGAAGTGTTTAGTGCGTGTGTCAGGGTTGGGATTAATTTGTGTTGAAGGCAGTCAATTCAGGAAGTGATTTGAATTTAAGGTGGCACTCCAGTCTCCTTTTCACCTCAGTTAACACCGGATTGACTTAACAAAAGTCACATCTCAATAGGTGGTCCAGGTATGTCATGACATAGCACAAGTGGGGACGGGTGGGCCTTTCCTGTTTTGTTCTCTATTGCTCCTCTATTGTTCCTCAAGGGGGAGGCCGATGACATCACAGATTCCCATCAGACCAACTCTTTGAATGCCCTACTCCTTGAAGTTTGCAGTATTTTTTTTACCCTTCAGTGTGTGTACAGTAAAGTATTTATACTTGGGATATCGCTTTTCAACAGTAAAAGTAAAAAAATCACTGGAGGACATCTTTAACATTCAGAAATTTAAAAACGTTGAAAATAAATAGCTTCTACTTTTCAGTTTATTGAGAAGTCAATGAAAATAAATACATTTTTTTTCGATTATTGAATTGTAATTTGTAAGTTTACTTCCTGAATTGAGTGCCTTCAATTTGAATTGAGCCCAACCCTGGTATGTGTGCGTGCATGCGTGTGTTTGTGGGTGTATATGTGTGTGTGTGTGTGTGTGTGTATGTGCACAGCCGTAAGTCATAAGTAAATTGGATACCTTTTTAATTCAGCTCAGCAGGACAAGCCTGCGATTCTACGCTTTAGAAAGAAAACAGCTAGCCTCAACATTTAGTCAAAGGTAAATACTGTACTTAGTGTACTTACAGCTCATTCACAGCATAGTCAACCAAAACTCACACGTCAAAGAGAAAGGCCTATGTCAAGTATGAAAACAAGAATCTTTAAAACCAAATAGATAAGATACATTCAAATCAATGATTTACAAGAATATGCATTAGATACAGTACAACTCCTTTTCAAATAAGAAAAATAAGTTATTGTGCTTTTCCATTATGTATTATTACTGCACAGTTTTATGAACAAATGAGTATATATATTCATTCAGGAAGTAGCCTTTGACTTGAAGGTTCCTCAGTATGGCTGTTTGTTGGTTTGGGGGAAAACAATCAATACAATGCTAGCGCATTTCAGTAACAACTGAACCAAATTCTGTACTAATGTTTATAAGTGGTTTATAAACAGATTTTCAGTGTTACTAGCATTTGAAATGGAAATGCCTAAAATGCATGAGAGCAGCAAAGGCAAAAGAGTTATGAAAGAAAACAAACATTCAGTAAGCTATCTGAAGGCGACATTGTGATGTTCCTCATCATTGCACACAGGAAGTAACACTATACACATTTGAACAAATCATACAACATCACAGTATCAAATATATAAGGTATAAAATGAATTGACATGGTTTTTATGGCACTTGAAAACGTTTCCTTTTTGTTTCAGTGGTCACATGATATGTCATCCAAAAGTACAGTTCAGAATATTGGCACATATTGTATTGACACAGAGGGTTTGTAACTGTGGCTGCATCTCGAATAACACTATATTTCCCATTCAGTGGAATACATTTGACCACTATATGGACAATAGGGTGTGATTTGAAACATGACCTATTTGTCTGAGTGCTGTGATGTCATCATTGTGCTCCTCCAATGGTAACACAGACTTCTGGGGTTGAGTCACAAGTGTCTTTATATACAGGACATTGCTGCTCAGGTTCACAACAGAACGGAACTAATTTTCTTTCTGAATATGACTGGAGCTGTGGCTCTGATGACTTGAGAATGGCATATCATATCTTCTTTCTTGTCTCCATATTGTCTCTCTCTTTCTCACTCTGCCTTTCTGTTTGTCTCTCTATCCTCCTGTATTTCTTCTTATCTCTCCGTCTTTCTATCTATCCCACTCTCCATGTCCACTTAACGTAATGGCAAGTCTTTTATAAGACACTTTGATGGGTAGAATATATGGTGCCATTTGAGCTCTATGAAAATGACCATTAACATTGATGAGTAAGCGTCAGGACTGTTGTTTAAATCACAACAACAGTGACTGTCACACACACGCATAGTCAGTGCATCTGCGCATACAGACACAGGACGCACACACACACACACTGCCCAACCTAATCCTCTATCCTTCTCTCCACACGTCGCATCGGCTCTAGAATTATTGGCCATTAAAAAGTACATGGAGTGGAAGGGGTGGAGTGACGAAGTGAAGGAGTGGATGGGTGAAATGGCGTCATTAGAGAGAACGCCTGGCTGGCAGAAATAGTGCTGACATTCCACTCCAACTCTCCTCCTTTCCAGGAGCTCAGTAAGAGTGGGTTATAGTCCCATGGTCCTAGTTAGACAGGTTAGGAGCAGTACAGTACGGCCCCTCTCGCCTCACATACACTGGGACTCTATGGCCCCCTGACCATGCTACCATGGACAGGTCCCCTGCACGGTAGGTTTACTAAAACGGAGCTGTAAATCTCTGTGTGTGTGTGCGTGTGTGTTTGTGTCAGGAGGCTGCTGGAGGGCGAGCTATTAAATCTTCATTGCCGCTTCCTTTCGACACTCTTCATCAGGTATTCTCGTCACGTTCAGAGTCAGAGTCATAGTCAGAATGACCTCAGTGTTTTTCTGCACACTGAGGCTGAACAGTGTCTGTTTCATTCACCTCCAGTAAGATGCTTAAAAGTAATATCTTTATAATTCATGTTTCAGTGTCCTCCATTGTCTTTTTGTCAGAGAGTGCCACTCAGTCTGCACTGGAAGGTGGACAGAGTGCATTGTGTAGGAATGATGTCTCCTAGGTCTTGTCTTCTGACACATGACAGTGGCCATTTTGTTTGGTTAGTTCTTGTTTCCCTGTTTGACGCACAGGGGAGGCTGTCAGCAAGTGTCTGTCTCTGGGTCTCTTTGCATGTTGCTTCCTGCTTATGGTTCTGTCTCAGAATGTTTTTTTTGTAAGCAAACTCTTCCTTCCCCTCTCTCTTTCCCTCTTTCTCACCACTCTTAGCAGCCTGAGGGGAGAGGCAGCTCTGCAATGCAGACACAGCAACAACCTCAATTTCTCTGGCCAATCACAGCCAAGCAGGATCTGAGTGACAGCAGTAGAAACCAGTCACAGAAAGAACAGCCTCAGGAGTCCAACAGTGAGATACAGAGATATCAGGAGGACTGAATGACAATGAGGGACAGAGACAGAAAGAAAGAGAGAGAAAGAGATAGGGAGGGAGATAAAAGGTAGAACAGAGAGAAGGAGAGAGATGTAGAAAGAGACTGAAATGGTCTTAAGCAGTGACTGGGGTCCTTCTCTGCTTTTCATTCTGTTTCTCACTGCCCGCTGTGAGCCCTCTCATTGGAACTCTTCTTACTCAGCAGCTGGCTGAGATCCACCAGTTCCCCCAGCTCTCCTCTCCCCAGTTCCCCTCTCAGCTGAGCCCTGCCCGGCCCGGGGGTGTGGTGCTGAGCCACATACTGCTGGCCATTGGGGGTCGGCATGGAGGATGGAGGTAGGGGGACCATGCCCTGGCTGCTGAGGATGTAGCCTTCCTGGGGAGGCCAGCGGAGAGGCAGGGGCTCTCCAAACTCCATGTGGGCGCTGGGGGCTGACACCACCCTCCTCCTATTCGGGGAGTCCTGGGGGGTCATGGGGTACACATACTCCCCTGCCGACTTGCGAAGTGCCGACTTTGGGGTCCCACTCCTCCCCTTCTCCGCCCAGGGCTTGCTGAGGCACACGTAGTGCTGGCGAGGTGTCTCCCCTCCTCTTCCTCGCTCCTCACCCCCATGCCTCCCACCTCCTCCCCCCTGGAAGAGTCTGGTGGTTAGGTAGACAGCAGTGGAGGGGTGTGGGGGGCAAGGGAGAGGGCAGGGGGATGCCAGGCCCATGGTGCTCCCTCCCAGGTAGGTCTGGCTGTTATCCCACCCCCCTGATCCAGAATCGGACAGCCTGAGCCCACGTCTCTTCTGCTGGGGCGTGTGCTCTGGAGTAGGCAAGAACCCTGGGTCTAGCTCCCCTGACTTCACCCAGCCGTTGGGCATCACAAACAGGGTCTCCCCGCCCTGAGAACAAGGTCTATCCCCTCCTCCCTGACGGGTCACACTGAGGACCGATCCCCCCATCTCTCCTCCTGACGTCAACATCCCCCTCTCCCGGCGCTGGATGCTGGACTGGCTGGTGTTGTTAGCGTGGCGACGGTTGCTGGGCTTGTGGGCCATGATCCAGCAGACGGCCAGGCCCGATAGCACCGCCCCGATGGTGAAGGCCGAGATTGCAGACGCCACCAGCAGGTTGAGGGAGACCAGACTCTCCGGCTCGATCAGCAGACTCTGCTGTACGACACCTGAAGGGGAGAAGGGAGATGAAAGGAATCATAAGGCTAATGGCAAGAGAGAATATAAAATCCACTTAACGTTACAGCATTAACAGGTTCTCACTCTGCATTCCTTCACTCTCCTCTACCTCTTTGTTTCCATTCTCCCTTATGACCCTCTCCATGCTTTTAATATTGTCACGTTTAGATCTAAACATGATTTGCTGGATCTCAAAGATTATATTCCTATATTGTATTATCCAAGAGCATAATCTTATTCTGTGTTACAGTGATCTATCATAACATTGTAAAATTGCTGAAGATAAGCATCTCCATTTCCTTTTTGGTGCTTTCTCCAGCACATCCTTGGGGTTCTGCTGGCTGGGCTGAAAGCTGCACTTGTCATCAGTAAGAAGGGAAAACACTAAAACAGATCAACTCTGGTCAGAGTTTCCATTCTGTGTTCAGGAAAGCTCTGGGCCGGCCAGTGAGTTTCTCCCTAAAATACATCATTTATTTCAGTAAATATTTCCACTGGCTTTATGCTTTCACCACTCTCTATGGAACTGGCTGACTGCAGTAAACTGGCCTATATCTGAGTTAGAAAGCAAAGGTTCTGGAACTAGAACAGGTCAGGTTCTAGAGAATGGTATACAGTGCATTGGGAAAGTATTCAGACCCATTGACTTCTTCCACATTTTGTTACGTTACAGCCTTATTCTAAAATTCATTAAATTGTTTTTCCCCCCTCATTAATCTATACACAATACCCCATCATGACAAAGCAAAAACAGGTAAAATATGACATTTACATAAGTATTCAGACCCTTTACTCAGTACTTTGTTGAAGCACCTTTGGCAGCGATTACAGCCTTGGGTATGACGCTACAAGCTTGGCACACCTGTATTTGGGGAGTTTCTCCCATTCTTCTCTGCAGATCCTCCCAAGCTCTGTCAGGTTGGATGGGGAGCATCAATGCACAGCCATTTTCAGGTCTCTCCAGAGATGTTCGATCGGGTTCAAGTCCGGGCTCTGGCTGGGCCACTCAAGGACATTCAGAGACTTGTCCCGAAGCCACTCCTGCGTTGTCTTGGCTGTGTGCTTAGGGTCGTTCTCCTGTTGGATGGTGAACCTTCGCCCCAGTCTGAGGTCCTGAGCGCTCTGGAGCAGGTTTTCATCAAGAATCTCTCTGTACTTTGCTCCGTTCATCTTTCCCTCGATCTTGACTAGTCTCCTAGTCCCTGCCACTAAAAAACATCCCCACAGCATGATGCTGCCACCACCATGCTTCACTGTAGGGATGGTGCCTCCAGACGTGACGCTTGGCATTCAGGCCAAAGAATTCAATCTTGGTTTCATCAGACCAGAGAATCTTGTTAATTATGTGCCTTTTGGCAAAGTGGGCTGTCATGTGCCTTTTACTGAGGAGTGGCTTCCGTCTGGCCACTCTAACATAAAGGCCTTATTGGTGGAGTGCTGCAGAGATGGTTTTCCTTCTGGAAGGTTCTCCCATCTCCACAGAGGAACTCTGGAGCTCTGTCAGAGTGACCATCGGGTTCTTGGTCACTTCCCTGACCAAGGCCCTTCTCCCCCGATTGCTCAGTTTGGCCTGGGGGGCCAGCTCTAGGAAGAGTCTTGGTGGTTCCAAACTTCTTCCATTTAAGAATGATGGAGACCACTGTGTTTTTGGGGACCTTCAATGCTGCAGAAATGTTTTGGTACCCTTCCCCAGATCTGTGCCTCGACACAATCCTGTCTCGGAGCTCTATGGACAATTCCTTCGACCTCATGGCTTGGTTTTTACTCTGACATTCACTCTCAACTGTGAGACCTTATATAGACAGGTGTGTGCCTTTCCAAATCATGTCCAATCAATTGATTTTACCATAGGTAGACTCCAATCAAGTTGTAGAAACATCTCAAGGATGATCAATGGAAACAGGATGCACCTGAGCTCAATTTCGAGTCTCGTAGCAAAGGGTCTGAATACTTATGTAAATAAGGTATTTCAGTTTTTTATTTCTTAATACATTTGCAAAAATTCTAAAAACCTGTTTTCGCTTTGTCATTATGGGGTATTGTGTGTAGATTGATGAGAAAAAAATTATATTTAATACATTTGAGAATAAGGCTGTAACGTAACAAAATGTGGAAAAAGGGAAGGGGTCTGAATACTTTCCTAATGCACTGTATAACAATGAGATTGCAATGTTCTGGTAGAGGAACTAATTAATTGCAGGTTATAGATCTATGATAGATAGTTTAGATGATATTGTAATATTGTGGACTTATAGTTTAGAACAGATTGCAGGTTCTAGAACTACAATAAAATAGAGGAGATTGTAGTGTAGTGTTCTGGAATCAGAACACTCCCCAGATTATAGATTTGCAATAAAACAGATGAGATTGCAGTGTATAATTTGAGTTGGAACAGATTGCAGGTCCTGGAACAGTTTGCTGATGAGAAGGAGACATCCCGATTGAAACCAAGACAGATTTGAGATGTGTTCTCTTATGCCCTGCCAGAATCTCAGCTTTGAGCACCACACAGCTTTGCATACTGAGTTTTGTCCTCATTTGTCTTCTGCACATGCTTTTCTGGCAAGCATTTGTCAAACTGTAGCAGACAGTCGTTGACAGCTGAACACTCAGAATATGTCTTAGTCCTGTGGGATTGTGGGGTTGTGAACCAGAAGGCTTTACTTCACTGATCAAGACATTCACTCCTCTGTCAACCAATCAAAATGCATTTATTGAAGCCAGCAACCAATTAAAAGCAGTCATGCTGGGAGGCTTCTGATGGACACTGATCTGAGGAGCGGGAAATCAAAGCCCTGACATTTCACACTAGCTAATCACGTTGCTGACAGACTAAAAAACATGACAATCTTCTGTCACCACTGTAAATGCAAGTACAATACACACATAAACATACAATATACAGTATATGAACTGTAGTATCATTGTGATGTTATGTACATTTGGGTTGTGATTTAGATTTTAATTGAGACCATGACAAATTTAAATTATACTTTGTAAAAACAATTGCATTGATATCTGTGTAGCAAACTCGTGTAATGCATGATTGAGCCGCTGGGCGGAGCATGTATTAAGGGAAAGAAAGAGCAGTTTGTACCCACAGAGCTACAGGGCTAAAGACATGGTACCTACCACCACAGTCTCCTAGATGGGAGAAGTTGCCATACTCAATGTCTTGCTGAAAAGGCAGCCTGCAATAGGACATAGACTATAGATTAACCGATTACACAGGACATCAACATCAATAGATAATAGATTAATACACAATGAACTGGTTAATCTGATCCTAGATCTGTGCCTATATGGGCAGCTGTCTCACCGTGTGCCTGGTCTGAGGAAGGAGCAGGTGCTGCCTCTGGTCCAGCCACAGTAGGGATCTCTGGAAGTCAGACAGCTCCTATACACACACACACACATGGAGATCTGATCAGCCTGATGGAGATGGTGTGTGTTTGTTAGATTAGGGTAAGGGTTAAGGCTGGGATTAGGGTTACGGTTTAACCGGGATGTGGAAATAAAGCTATGGTTAGGGTTATGGTGGTGGTTGAGGCTAGGGTTAGGGTTAGGATTGAACCGGGATGTGGACATGATGAAGCTAGGGTTAGGGTTAGGGTTATTTATGGCTAGGGTTAGGGTTGATCCGGGTTGTGAACATGAAGCTAGGGTTAGGGTTAGGGTTACTACTAGGGTTAAGGGTAGCCATAACCATAAACAAAACCCTGTGTGTGTGTGTGTGTGTTTGTGAATGTGTGTGTGTCTTACTCACTTCATGCAGCGTGAGTGTAGGTGGCAGCGTGCTGTGGGCAGTCTGACCAGACAGGAAGGGAAGGCCAGCAGTAGAGTGTGACTGGGACGATCCAGGGACAGAGACAACAATTGTCTGGCCTGGACAGAGTCCTCTCCACACCTAGAGACAGAGAGAGAGAAAGGAAGAGAGAGAGAGCGAGAGGGTGTGTGTGTGTGTGTGTGTGGGTTGAGGGGAGTGACAGAGAGGGAGAGACATAGATGCATATTTAGAGTATTTTCATTCATTTCTATTGTTACAGCAGAGAAATATAGGGATTCACATTAGGGTGATTGCTGCCTTTGCAAACAGACTAAAACAGTTAATCTCCACAATAATGAGCTGACAAAACACAGGACTGCAGTGAGCACATGGGATTGTGGCCAAACTCCCTTCCTGTACTCACTTCTCAGGGTTGAAGCCCTCCACCTCCTCCAGAAACACACTGCTGTGTGTGGGAGAGTTGTCTCCACTTGGGACGATGAGGAATTTGAGGACAGTCCCTCGCGTGGAGCCCAGAAACAACACCGTACGGTTTCTATGGGGACCAGCTTCTGTGTCCACCACCATGGCTGTCAACTGGTACCTAGGGAGAGGGATGGAGGGGGCGAGTAGAGGGAAAGGGAGGGGGGGAGAGAATGAGAGGGGAGAGGGAGCAAGGTATATGGTGAGCTCAATTTCAGGACACGTTGAGGGCAAACATTGATTTCAGAGGGAACAATCAGTGGTAACCATGTGTATCCTTAGCCATACCTGCCCATAGTCTTGACTACCCAGGGTCTGTGCCCCACCAGGGGTATGGTCTCATCCATCAGGGGATGAGTCTTCACAAAGTTCAGCACCTCATCCGGCAGAGTTTTGGACGAGCTGAACGGAGACCCCTGCACCGCACAGCCACCCGGCCTACAGAGAGAGAACAGGGTCAAAATAAGGCAGAATAATATGATTGAACATCGCATTACAATCCTACAAAACATAAATATGAGTTATTGTTGAAAGTACCTGGGTTTGGGCACAAGCTCATCAGATACAGGTGTCCAGATGGATTCTGGAGATTTCTGCTCCTTGAATCTTCCTTCAAACACCCTAGCCAACTGTTGCATGTCAAATACACAGACTGCAGACCCAGGGATACTGTCAGAGGTAGGGAGAGAGGGGGAGGGGAGGTGGGCCAGAAAGGATTAGATGTGGATCAGAAATATGATGTGTGCCTGTGTGTGTTCGTGTGTGTGCATGTGGGTCTTTCTATGAACTAGGGTACCAGTGAGGGTGTCCTATGCTGGACAACTTGTTACTACGGAAGTCCAGAGAGGACATATGAATAAAATAAATCCCTCGTTATGTCGAGATCAAAATTTATTTATCTCATGATCACTACATAATAAATGTTGTTTTGTCGACATCACAAGATAATCAGAAGTACCACGCATCATCCATTCATTTGTTCAGATGCACGATAATGACCTCATCAAGGAGCCCTGTGGCTGCATTGCATGCAATGTTCTCATTGGGCATTTAAGCCCTGAACGATGCTTGACAGGCAGCTCTGTCTCTCAGGAAGCACGCCGCCCCCAAGACCACAGCCAATCGCATGCAAGGAACAATGCAGCTAAATTGGCTAGTATTGTGAGATAGTCCCCTGTAGCTCAGTTGGTAGAGCATGGCGCTTGCAACGCCAGGGTTGTGGGTTCGTTTCCCACGGGGGGCCAGTATGAAAAATGTATGCACTCACTAACTGTATGTCGGTCTGGATAAGAGCGTCTGCTAAATGACTAAAATGTAAATGTAATAGTTATTTGGAGCTCAGAAATTCAAGTACTGGAATTGGCCTAGTGTGAAAATCAGACATTTCCTCAATTTGGTACTCGAAAAGTCTGTAATTATTGTAGACAATTTATAAGTTATCCTGCTCCCTTATAATTATCTGTGATTTCATTTTTGATCCGTTTTTGTGAGAGATGTGGGCACTTTACTTCAATTGAACGGTGTTGTGCTACTCTGTTGCGGTAAAACCACATGCAGTTATTATGAGGATGACAACATCTAATGCTTGCTTCAACTTGGATTTTCATACAAATCCTTCTATTACAAAAGTGACCTGGTTTTTGGTCGCTTTCTCATTATAAAAACAGCGATGGTGAGATTCAAATGGTGAGATTAATGGTACCGCTATTCATGGCTTTATTATGTGTGCCTTAATCGGCCACATAGGCTACAGAAACATTTCCATGTATGTATCCAATTTATTTAGTCTGGCAAGTCCACATTATTCTCACATATTTTAGAATGTAATAATAATTTGAATATCAATGCATTGGCAAGGCCTAAACAATTAATTATTCTTTAAGTTTTAATGGCCTACTTTTTTGGACACTTTTTGCATGCTTTTTTTTTTTGGGGGGGGGGGGGTTCTATATTAAGCCCTATATGTACAATTATATAAATTATACAACTGAGGTCCTTAAAAATTACAATTAAGTGCTTGAAAAAGTCCCTTAAAGTCTTTGAATTTGACTTGCCAATATCTGTATGAACTCTGCTTAAAGGATGTCCTAGGCTTATGTTGTTGTATAGGTGGAGTTATGGGCCAATTTGCATATATTCCTCTAAGTACACATGTGGAACTTTAAATGTTGAACCCAATGTCACAGATTGGACCCATAATTTATAGAAAGATCCATACCTGCATTATGTGTATGCGCGCATATGTATGTCTGCGTGTACCTGTTGGGCGGGGTAGAAAACAGTCCCAGTATGACGTCCCTGCCATTCATGTTGAGTATGGGGCTGGTGGCGTGGAGCAGGTTGAAGTAGAAGTGGGAGTCTCCTGGGACAGAGCAGTTCAGTCTGGCCTTCAGGAACGATGTCCACTGTTTCTCCAACACCCTCTGAGACCCACCCAGGTCCCCCTTACACACCCGCGCCACACGAGACACCATCACCTGTACACACACACACACACACACACACACACACAGTATAAACAAGAAAACAATATAAACAAAATGTGATGTACAAATCGCCATTTCTGTGTGTGTGTGTGTGTGTGTGTGTGTGTGTGTGTGTGTGCATGCGTGCATGTGTGTGGGTGTGTGCGTGCGTGCGTATGTATGTATGTTTGTGTGTACTGTGTACCTTCTCCAAGTGATGGAACTCCATTGCCATTTCTCTGAAGAAGAAGTAAATATGAGGTCCCCACTCCACTGCACTCACAAAGAAGGGCTCTGAGAGAGAGAAGAGAGAAATGCCATTACACGCATGCATATACCACCCCCCCCCCCCCCCCCCACACACACACACACAGAGCTCTATATTTATTGCCGATACACAATCTGACACCTCTCTGTAACAACATATGACAACTTCTCTGGGGTCAGCCATTAAGCATTCATGTCCTGTTTAATTGATCATCAGTGACAAGCACATAGCAGTTATTTACTCATGTCTGTCTCTGACCTCTAGGGTTCCACGCTCTGTTTTACTCTGATGGAGATTTCATGCCCTTGATCCGTTGGTCTGGTCCTCTCTGATTTGACAGGACTGGATGAAAGCAATACATCTAACCTGGCACTAAGCTAGCCTATCGCTTTTATCTATCCACTCTTAGGATATAAGGATTTAGGTAGGAATGGAGACCACTTTAGAGTGTTTGGGTTAGCCCGCAGTGTTTATGTGATCTAAGGAAATATTGTTCTCCACCTGCGGAGAAGTGTTTGACCCATTCACTCGCATGCAAGTACGTCATTTCAGTGTACCTCTGAACCATTTGGAGTCGTGTTTGACGGTGCGGAGAGCAGGGCTATCGCCTAGGCTACGATAGATCACAGCATCAATCGCCAGAAAGTCTGTTACAGTACCAGTGAAGAGACTGCCCTCTGAGAGAGAGAGAGAGAGAGAAAGAGACAGAAAGACAGAGAGAGAGAATAACAAAAACATGCATTGTATTAATCATGAACACAAGGGTAGTCCAGTCCCGTTAGCACAACTCCAGTCTCTAGATTGATCCGTCGTCTGAATGCTTTCCCCTGGACATTTACAGCCCTTGTGAAAAGTGCTATGTCATTACTTTCCAATATATTGAAAGAGAGTGAAAGTAAAAAAGAAAGAGAGAAACTCCTGTACCTGCAAACAGAGCCACATTGGCGTGTCTGGGGTCATAAGGGCATCGAGCCATCCCATTGACCGTCTCTCCTACCATTTCCAGAGTGTCCCTCTGTAACACACACAATTGTACATAGGTACTGTATGAACACGAACACACATGCCAATAAAGCTTCAATTAATTGAATTGAATAGACAGATACTCACAGTGTAGTTGGCACATAGAGGGTTGAAGGCGTTAGTTCCACACACAAACAGTCCTCCATGTTGGCTCAATAACACCTTGATGAAGTTACGACACTCCCCCTGAAGACAGAGACAATAGAGGATGAGAAATTATGTGAGAGTCAGAGAGGAGAGGAAGTGTGCGTGTGTGTATGTTTGGGTGTGTGCACAGTGGTGTCATCAGGCCTGGGCTTCCGTGACAAAATATATATATACACTGAACAAAAATATAAACACAACATGAAAGTGTTGGTCCCATGTTTCATGAGCTGAAATACAAAATACCAGAATTGTTTTGCACAAATTTGTTTATATCCCTGTTAGTGAGCGTTTCTCCTTTGCCAAGATAATCCATCCTGTTGAGGAGTATTTTTGTCTGTAATAAAGCTCTTTTGTGGGGAAAAACTCATTCTGATTGGCTGGGCCTTGCTCCCCACTGGACCTGGCTGCCAAGTGTGTGGGCCTATGCCCTCCCAGGTCCACCCATGGCTGCACCCCTGCCCAGTCATGTGAAATCTATAGATTAGGGCCTAATGAATTTATTTCAATTGACTGATTTCTTTATATGAACTGTAACTCAGTAAACTCTTTAATTGTTGATTGTTACGTTTATATTTCAGTATATTTCAGTCTGATATGAGTTTCTTAACCATGCATCTCTTGCGCTATGCATTATTAAATACAAATAAAAGTTTTACTGACAAATAAGTAAGTTAGACAAAAGTAAACAAAACGATTAGTTACCGGAGTGTAACTCCAGTTCTATGAGTGGAGCGGAGCCCCATAGGGGAGCTCTGCTCCTAATGGTTTACCCTCTGCCCTAAGGCAGCAGCAGCCTGAGACAAAATTATGCACACACCTACAGCCAATAGGAGTACAGGTGTCCCTATAAGAGGGGGTGCCTCCCCTCAATCAGCCTCCCGAGATATTTTTCTTCAGCGAGACTAGAGAGGGTCGGCAGGGCCTTAAGTCCTATGGGGCTCCGCTCCACTCATAGAACTGGAGTTACACTCCGGTAACTAATCGTTCTATATCGTGGAGCTCCGCCCCATAGGGGAGCTCTGCTCCTAATGGTTTACGGCGGAGCGTAGCGCTCCAAAATGTACTCCCTGCCGAGCCTAACACTTCCCATCGAAACGAGAAAGTCAAGCCTAGCAATGGCTGCAACCGAGTCCCGCAGTACTGCAACTAAAAACCCCTACGGGCGTCACAATATACCGCGTCATCGGTTAAAAGACCCGCCCCACCTAGTCCAATGGCAATGCCAATGACTAGTGGGCAGATCACCAGAATAAAAGCCATACTAATCTGTACTAGCAGATAGATGTGCCTCAATATCCTGTGAAAACACTACCGACCACTAATGGAATGACATCAAGTGTCACTCTACATTATGAACGCGGTAGACCGCCTCACTCACTCAATGGAATCCCAGAGATTAGTGGGCGGGAACAAAACCTGGGTCATACTAACTGAACAAGCAGATAGATGACCTCATACTCTGTTAATCAACGCATGCCTCTACTGTACTGACCCTGTCAGTCAGGATTCATGCCACAAAATATGTTTTCTTATCCAAAGCGGACCTGATGGAAACCCAGTCCATAGTCCTGCTTTTCCCTCTCTTCCTAGCTCAAGATCTCCCTTCAGCTGTGCTGATTACAGACCGAGCCAAAGAGTTAGAAAACACATCTGTCAAAAACACGTCTTCCTAACCAAAGCGGACCTGATGGAAACCTGTGTCCACAGTCCTGCTTCTCCTCTCTTTCTTGCTCAAGATCTCCCTTCAGCCATGCTGAGTACAGATCGAGCTAGAGAATTAGAAGACATATCTAAGAGATAGAAACTGATAAATGGAGACGGCGTCGACCAGGATGCTGCTCTACAGATATCCTCTACTCCTGCTCTAAAAAGGGCAGTAGAAGCCGCTACTCCACGAGTGGAGTGAGCTCTGATACCCTGAGGCAATTGCCGCCCTGCTACCTCATAAGCTGTCTCAATGCCTTCACAAAGCCAGTGAGACAGCCTCTGTTTTAAAAGTGGTCTACCTAGTGCAGCCGCACCGTGACACACAAACAACTGAGGCGATGACCTAATCGCTGCTGTGCGCTCGACGTAACACGCCAAAGCGCGTACCGGGCACAGGCGATGGAGCTTCTCCTCACTCCTCTCTCTATGAGGAGGAGGAGAAAAAGCCCACAGCTCCACGGTCTGTGACCTATATGAACTCTTAATAACCTTCGGCACAAATGCCGGGTTAGGACGTAACACTGCTCTGCTCAGGTCACCATTGATGGCCAGGCAGTCAGGTCTCGTCGAAAGAACACACAAATCACTGACCTGCTTAGCTGTAGTCAAAGCGAGCAACAGTGCTGTCTTGATAGACAGCATCTTGAGGGGTATTTGATTCAATGGCTCGAACGGCGACTTACATAGCGCTTCGAGTACCAAAGCCAAATACCACTGAGGAAGCGTGACTCTAGGTGTTGGCCTAAGTCGCCGCGTTCCTAATAGGAAGCGTTTCACTAGAGGGTGACTAAAGACATTGTCTCTGCCAAAACCCTCATGACAAGCTGAAATCGCTGCTGCAAACACTCTAATCGTGGCAGGCGATTTTTGCTTATCAAACATGAGCTGCAGAAAAGAGAGAATACTCTCCACCTGACAGCTCATGGGGTCCACACCTTGTGTGACACACCATCGTGAAAACACGTTCCATCTACTGGCATACATCTTAGAAGTGGAACTGGCACGTGAACCCTGTATGGTCCTGATCACTGCATCAGATAACCCACGGCGCTCTAGCCTGTCCCTCTCAGCAGCCAGGCCTTCAGTGGTTGGCCGATTATGGGCAATTTCCCTATCGTGCCAGCCGCCTGAGACAACGCGTCCCGTCAATGTGGAATTGGCCAAGGTGGCGCAATCAACATCTGACTCATCTCCGCAAACCACAGAGCCCCCGGGCGATCGGGCGCTATCAGTATCACTGACAGCCCCCCTGACCTCACCCTGGCTAGCAGTGGGAGAATGCAGGACAGCGGAGGGAATGCATACAGGAGAACTCTCGGCCACGGGTGGTGCGCAAAGGCGTCCCTTCCCAGTGGCGGTTCGTCCTGTTCCCTCAGAGAGAACCACAGAGGACATTGCGCGTTCACGCGTGACGCGAATAGGTCCACCTCGGCTCTCCCGAATTGTTCCCAATCTGGAGAACAATGTCTGGATGCAGACACCACTCGTCGTCTCGAGGACCCCCTCTTGACATGAGGTCTGCTCCTACGTTCAAGTAGCCCGGAATGTGTGCTGCTCTCAATGAGCGAAGGTGCTCGTGAGCCCACAGCCACAATTCCTCTGCCGCCCGATGGAGAGCAGGAGACCTGACTCCACCCTGGCGATTTATGTGGGCTACTGTGGTCCGGTTGTCTGACCAGACCAGCACATCGCGACCCCGAAGGGTAGACACGAAGTGGGTCAGAACCAGTCGAACCGTTTCCAACTCCAGGAGGTTGATGTGACGACCTGATTGAGGCCACACACCTCTTATCGCTTGTGTCTGACATGTCCCTCCCCATCCCGTCAGGGACGCATCCGTGAATACTGGGATGTGAGAGGACACCTTTCCTATCGGGACTCCGTGCGTGAGAACGCGCGAGTTTCTCCAATAGTTTAGGTCTGCACTGAGCGAGAGGGGAACCACCACCAACCGATGACGTTGATGCAATGGGTCTAGTCTTAGTTGGGCGAACCATCGCTGCGTCCTGCGCATGTGCAGGAGTCCCAGCGGAACCACAGAGTGGGCTGACGACATGAGACCCAAAAGTGACATGATCGACAGCGCCGTCACCGTGTGATTCGGACGACACTTCCTTAGGGCTAGCAACAAGGCTACCCTTCGGGGGTCCGAAATTCGAGCCCTCATCCTCACAGTGTCTAGCTGTATCCCCAGGTAGACAATCTGATGAGTGGGCCAGGGCGCGCTCTTTTTCCAATTCACAGCGAACCCCAGACTTGTGAGATGCATCACTGTCTGTGTTGTGTGAGTGATCGCCAGCTCTGCTGACGGGGCGAGAACCAGTAGGTCGTCCAGGTAGGCTAGTAGCCGTATTCCCTGACGACGCAACGGTTCCAATGCCGCCTCCACACACTTGGAAAATGTGCGAGGTGCCAGGGCGTACCCAAATGGCATCCTCGTGTATTCGTACGCCACCCCTTGAAAGGCGAACCGCAGAAACTTCCTGTGACGCGGCTGAACCGGCACATGAAAGTACGCGTCCTTTAGGTCTATGCTCGTACAAAAGTCCCCTCTCTGGACACATTCCAGCAGACGTTTTGTCGTTAGCATTCGGAAGGGCCGTTTGGTTATGCTCTCGTTGAGAATGCGTAAATCCAAAATCGGCCTCACTCCCCCCGTCTTTTTGGGCACTAGGAAATAAGGCGAATATAGCCCTTTGTTCCTTTGCTCCCGGGGAACTACTGTCACCACCTCCTTCGCCAAAAGTTATGTAATCTCTGTCATCAGAGCGGCCACTTTGTCTGGCGTTTTCATCACCGTCTCCACCACTCCCCTGAACGGGGGTGGGGTCCGGTGGAATTGGAGAGCATAACCCTTCTGCAACGTCTGTTCTAGCCAGCGTGAGAGGGTGCAGCTTCTTCGCCACTGCCAGCAATGCAGAGAAAGTGGCTGGGCGCGAAGCTGTGGTGCATCCAGTAGGAAGGACCTGTATTCCTCTATGGCCCTTACCGCCACTGTTCCCCAACATTAAAGTGGTGGAACAGCCCAAGGTGGGCCTCCCGTGAAAGGGAGAGGAAATGCGTTCTGAGAAAGAAAGAGGAGTAGGGACATCGGTTAAACCCGTAACCGTCGTATTCCTGCCCTCCTTGAACGCATCGCGGGTCTGAATTGCGCTGACCGAGGCCACAGCCTGCGGCAGGGCACCATCCCCAGCAAGCGATTGCGTCATCTTAGGTGACTGCAATTCGCTATCAGAGCCCTTCACTACAGTACTCCTAGAAGTCTGTAGTATGAGGTCTCTATGAGGTAAAACAAGGCGGCGCCTTGATACCTTCTTAACTTTCACCTTCTGTGTGTGTTCAACTCTGCACCCCTGGTGGGTTGAGTCACGCTCAGTGTGGTGAGTATTAGCGCGTTCAAAGGGAAGTGGGGGCGCCGATACACTGGGCACCTTCGTGACCGTGGTAATCGGGCCCTCCGTGAACGCAGCATGGGTCTGAATCGCACTAACCGAGACCTTAGTCTGCGATAGTGCGCCATCCCCAAATAGCGGCTGCGTCATCATGTCTCCTGACTGAGACTGCAGCCTGCTATGAGAGACACTCACTACAGTACTCCTTGGGGTCTGTAAAGTGAGGTCTCTTTGAGATAAGCCAAGACGGTGTCTTGGTATCTTTCCTCCCTTCACCTCCTGTGTGCGTTCAGCTCTGCACCTCTGGTGGGCTGAACTACGCTCAGTGTGGTGAGTATTAGCGCGTTCAGAAAGAAGTGGGGGCGCCGATACACTGGGAACCTTCGTCACCGTGGTAATCGGGCCCTCCGTGAACGCAGCATGGGTCTGAATCGCACTAACCGAGACCTTAGTCTGCGATAGTGCGCCATCCCCAACTAGCGGCTGCGTCATCATGTCTCCTGACTGAGACTGCAGCCTGCTATGAGAGGCACTCACTACAGTACTCCTTGGAGTCTGTAATGTGAGGTCTCTTTGAGATAAACCAAGACGGCGTCTAGGTATTATACCTCCTTTCACCTCCTGTGTGCGTTCAGCTCTGCACCTCTGGTGGGCTGAACTACACTCAGTGTGGTGAGCCTGGGCGCGTTCAGAAAAAGGTGGGGGCGCCGATACACTGGGCACCTTCGTGACCGTGGTAATCGGGCCCTTCTTGAACGCAGCATGGGTCTGGGTCGTACTAACAGAGACCTTAGTCTGTGATAGTGCGCCATCCCCAATTTGGTTATTATCAGCGCGTTCTGAGAGAAAACGGGGGCGCCGATACGTTGGTTACGCCCGTAACCGTAGTAATCAGGCCCTCCGTGAACGCAGCACGGGTCTGAACTGCACTGACTGAGGCGTTAGCCTGAGACAGAGCGCCGTCCCGAATAGCGGTCGCGTCATCATGCCATTATCTGGCTGAGACTGCAGCCTGCTATGTGAGACACTCACTACAGCACTCCTAGGAGTCTGTAAAGTGAGGTCTTTATAAGGTACACTTAATACCTTTTATATACCTGCCTTATGTGTGCATTCAGCAACGCACCATGGTGGGCTGAGCTGCACTCATAGTGGTAAGAGAGAGAGCGAGAGTGAGGAAGGTCGAACGCTCTCGGATGTATTATGGAAAAGGGGCTCTTTTTTGACAGTGTCAAGTAGAGCCAACTCTTTATTACACACATCAACAAAAAACATTCTCCTCCATACACTCAACGGTAGAGTGGGGGGGGACAGTGGGCTCGGTCACAGCAGGCGCTGTGCCGTCTTCCGTTCTCTCCCCCTCGCCTGTCATAAACGGCGTCTCTTCTGGCCGCCCTTCGGGTGATGCCAGGATGACGCTTTAATGACCTCTCTCGCCGGCACCTCTGGCGCTGCAGGGGGGGGGGGCGAGGCCCGCTCCCTTGCTGCTGGAGGCCGCCGTCTGACGCCAAGCTGTAGCGAGAGTAACGGCCGCCCTTCCTCATATCCACTTCCGGGTTGGAGGGAATGGGGGGCAGCTTAATCTCCCGCTGTTTAGCAGCCCACTCAATGAGACCTGAGAATTCAGGCACAGAGAGGCTGTGGCGTCATCATCCAGGGATGTAATGACCTCACAATTTCCCGAAGGAAAAGGGGTGTTAAACATCTGGGTCAGTGTAATGAATTGTTCCAATAGAATATTCATTTCTTCCCCAATAGCCCTGTCATCTCCTGAGTCAGCGCCTTCAGATGATGCCTCAGAAGCTGAGACTAACACTGATAGCACATCCTCAAGAGGAATATCCTCCCTAAAAATGCCCAACGCTGCTTCCACTCCTTCAAAAAGGAGGGCGCAGCTGGCGCATAGTGGGGGATTAATGAAGCTGTCCCTGGCGTGCTGTGTCCCTCAACCCACGAAACATATGTCGGGGGGGTCGACAGCCGCCAAGGGGAACAGCGACATTGAGCTCTGAAAAGAGCTTTTGTTAAATACTTACCCTATGGATAAGCTTGGTGTGCTCATTGTAGGACGACGTCGATGATCTGGAAAATCGACGGCGTTTTCTTCGTCCTGAGTCTTCTCTTCGTCTCTTCTTGGCTTCTTCAGTCTAGTCCAGTCGCTGAAGAAAAAGGGAGGCTGATTGAGGGGAGGCACCCCCTCTTATAGGGACACCTGTACTCCTATTGGCTGTAGGTGTGTGCATAATTTTGTCTCAGGCTGCTGCTGCCTTAGGGCAGAGGGTAAACCTTTAGGAGCAGAGCTCCCCTATGGGGCGGAGCTCCACGATATAGAACTGCAAGAAGCCCCTGGAGTGACTCGATGCATGCTGCGATTCGTCGAGATTTCACAACGCAGTGGACCGCTTACGTTCCTTAACCCCTCCCCCACCCCACAGCACCGGTTAGATGTCACTAGCTATGTTTCCATTAACTTGTCCAGTGATATTTTTGTTGTAATTTAGAAAGTTGGCATAGAAAATAGATGCAACTATCTATTTTTATATTGTGTCGATAAAAACAGCTGGACGTTATGACGTCACACCAACAACAAAAAAACATTATGAAGAAAAAAAACGGTGATTGAAATGAAACCATTACCAATTTAGGCAAATTGCGCATTAATAAATTGGCCACAGCCTGTTTGCCCTCCCAATTATCTGTTCTAGGTATCAGGTAGCCTGCAAAAGCCAGCATGGATAGAATGCAATAATTGACTATTCTAATAATTGTCATGTGCCAACGTATCGCCATGGTCCGTGCCATGGTGAAATTTGCACGCCGTAGATCTGAAATAATAAGATGGTGAAACTTGCATCCAGCCAACCAGAAAAGCAAGGTGAAGCAATTCAGGCATTCTTGAAAATCAGGACAATCCTTGTCCTGCAAAGAAACATTAATTTATATAAGAAAAAAAGTGATTTTGCAAGCAGTAGGCCTAGGCATTTAAAATTAACCGAGTGGCACCACGCCCTACGGGCGGTAAATCATTGGATATGATTAATTTGATTCAATACAATTCAATCTTTTAATAAGCCATTTTCAACTTCCCGTCTGGTTATTTTGCTCACAGCTCACTGTCAATTGCTCACTGTCACCGTATGTTTAGGACTACATATTAGGCTATGGAATTCGTACAGAAAAATAATTTGTTTGCAAATGCAACTGGGGCCCTGATATCACATGCCCCACATATTAGGCAATCATCATTTATTCGAAAAACATAGTTTCCATTCAGCCAGGTCACCCGTGATACAAGACAGTATTCAACGTCCATCCATGTCTGAGGACATCGGGAGATGACGTGGAAACCGGCCACTAGGCAACAGTACGCGCTGTTATCTTTAAGCATCTGCCTCTGATTCCAAAGGTTGCAAGGTCGAATCCAGCGATAGAAAGTTGTTTTGAGATTTTTGTTTTAAGCCTACATTATCTCAAACCTTAACTCTTACCTTAACCATTCAGAGTGAATGCCTAACCTTAAGTTTTCGGAGGTAATGCCTAAATTTAACCTTAACCTTAGAAATTCAGAGTTAATGCCTGAACTTCATCTTAAACACTTCGAAATGTTACGTTTGTAACAACTGCAAAATGTTACGTTTGTAACAACTGCAAAATGTTACGTTTGAGAAACATGGATGAACGTCTAATTCTGACGTGAGACTGTGAGAGCTAGTTGTTTCCATTATCATTTGCAGCAATAAGGAAAGTTAGACAAAATAAAAATCCACCCCTGTCAAATGGATACAATTTTTGCCCATCTTTAGAAAATGTGTCCTATATCTGCCGTTTACATTACACGTCGCAATTATTTTTTTTGCAACATTTATTTTGTCTAATAAACCTGGGTCAATGGAAACCTGCCTAATGTCATGACTCAGCAAAACGTCTGTCAGTCAGTCAGAGTCTGCAGCATACAGAGCAAACCCAGTAAACTGGGAACATTCCCAGAACATTAGCTAAGATATTTAAAAATTCCCAGAATGTTTCATTAGGTTGTGGGAACAGTCTGGTGAGACATTGTGGGGACATCACAAAATATATGTTCCCAAAAAATAAAAACTGTCCAGTTGTGTGGATGATTATACAATGTTTCTTTTAGGGTACAAAAAATATTCACCCGACGTTACAAGAACGTTCTCAGAACACATTTTGTATGTTCTTTAAAGGTTCCCAGAATGTTTCATTAGGTTGTGGTAACAAGAGATATGTTCCAAAAACACTAAAACTGTCCAGTTGCGCTGACATTCAGATAATGTTTGTATCAGGGTTCACAAAACATTAATTTGGTGTTGCAAGAATGTTGACAAAACAGCCTTTCAGAGTTCTTTAAATGTTCTCAGAACATGTAATTAGGTTGTGGGAACAGTGTGGGTACATTACAAAATATGCTCAGTTGTGATGACATTCATACAATGCTTAAGTTAGGTTGCTCAAGACATTACCTTAATGTTGAGAATGAAATGTCAATTTTTATGACGTTCATAGCATAGCTGTTTTAGATTTAACGTCATATTCCATTGATGTTCATGCAATTTCAAGAACATTTAGAAAATCTAATATTTAAGTATTACCTAATATTACCACAACATTCTCAGCATGCAAATTAAAGCAGATTGGAGTACATCCCCTTTATGTTTCTCTCCAGATTTAATGGCAATTCGCATTTGAGGACTGAATTGTAGGTAACATACAGACACATGGCAATTTCATTTCATTCATAGGACATTTGAACAGTCTTTAATCATACAAACAAAACCATATTCTTTAGACTTCATATGTTGACTTAATAACTTGGTCTATTAACATGATAATCTGCCTAGATTGTCCCTATGCCCAAGAACACTAAGGTAACCTGCCAAAATGACTTCCGACCCTAGTACTCATGTCTGTAGCCATGAAGTGCTTTGAAAGGCTGGTCATGGCTCACATCAACACCATTATCCCAGAAACCCTAGATCCACTCCAATTTGCATACTGCCCCAACAGATCCACAGATTATGCAATCTCTATTGCACTCCACACTGCCCGTTCCCGCCTGGACAAAAGGAACACCTACGTGAGAATGCTATTCATTGACTACAGCTCAGCGTTCAACATCATAGTGCCCTCAAAGCTTATCACTAAGCTAAGGACCCTGGGACTAAACACCTCCCTCTGCAGCTGGATCCTAGACTTCCTGATGGGCCGCCCCCAGGTGGTAAGGGTAGGCAACAACACATCTGCCACGCTGATCCTCAACACGGGGGCCCCTCAGGGGTTCGTACTTAGTCCCCTCCTGTACTCCCTGTTCACCCATAACTGCATGGCCAGGCACGACTCCAACACCATCATTAAGTTTGCCGACAACACAACAGTGGTAGGCCTGATCACCGACAACGATGAGACAGCCTATAGGGAGGAGGTCAGAGACCTGGCCGGTTGCATCACTGCCTGGTATGGCAACTGCTCGCCTTCGACCGCAAGGCACTACAGAGGGTAGTGTGTACGGCCCAGTACATCACTGAGGCCAAGCTTCCTGCCTTTCAGGACCTCTATACCAGGCGGTGTCAGAGGAAGGCCCTAAAATTGTCCAAGACTCCAGCCACCCTAGTCATAGACTGTTCTCTCTGCTACCGCACGGCAGCGGTAGCAAAGGCTTCTTAACAGCTTCTACCCCCAAGCCATAAGACTCTAATCAAATGGCTACCCGGAGTATTTGCATTGTCAACCCCCACCCCCTCTTTTACGCTGCTGCTACTCTCTGTTTATCATCTATGCATAGTCACTTTAACTCTACCTACATGTACATATTACCTAAATTACCTCGAGTAACCTGTGCCCCCACACATTGACTCTGTACCGGTACCCCCTGTATATAGCCTCGCTACAGTTATTTTACTGCTGCTCTTTAATTATTTTTTATTTAAAAAAATTATTTATCTATTTTTTACTTAACACTTATTTTTCTTAAAACAGCATTGTTGGTTAAGGGCTTGTAAGTAAGCATTTCACTGTAAGGTCTACACCTGTTGTATTCCGCGCATGTGACAAATACAATTTGATTTGATTTGATTTGAGATACAATTATCACTTACCTGATTGGTTAATTCTGTGAACGTGCGGCCTCGAACATGCCCCTGTGTTATACTACCATGCTTTAGATTAGTAAAGTTTCCCAACGTAGCTCCTCTCTCCTGTCCTGTTCTTATTAGGTGATAAAACTTTAAATATTACAAATGGCGACGATGGATTAAAAATACCAAACGTGTGGATTGTAAATGGAGCAGCCGTGCACCTGGCAGGAAGAAAATATAGAAGGAACGGATATTTCATGGACCGAGGCACGTGAGCTAGCTACCGCCGAGGATATTAGACCATAAAACAGTAACAACCGAGAAATGGCTACTATGCAAGTCAGACGAGTGGACAAGTACAAAGAATCGCAGGAGGATTTTGAAAGTTATCTTTAAAGTTTGGAGCTATGGATGTTTGCAAATGACATTAAAGACAACAAGAAGGTCAGTGTGTTTCTTTGTGTGATCGCTATGCAGCACAAGATGCTAGCAGAGAAGGAGCTAACATTCAGAATTATTTTTTTATTTTTTATTTAACCTTTATTTAATTAGGCAAGTCAGGTAAGAACAAATTCTTATTTACAATGACGGCCTACCAAAAGGCAAAAGGCCTCCTGCGGGGACTGGGGTTGGAATAAAAAATATATATATATAAATATAGGACCAAACGCACATCACAACAAGAGAGACAACACAACACTACATAAAGAGAGACCTAAGACAACAACATAGCATGGCAGCAACACACAACAACACAGCAAGGTAGCAACCCAACATGAAAACAACATGGTAGAAACACAACATGGTAGCAGCACAAGACATGGTACACACATTATTGGGCACAGACAACAGCACAAAGGGCAAGAAGGTAGAGACAACAATACATCACGCAAAGCAGCCACAACTGTCAGTAAGAGTGTCCATGATTGAGTCTTTGAATGAGGAGATGGAGATAAAACTGTCCAGTTTAAGTGTTTTGCAGCTCATTCCAGTTGCTAGCTACATCGAACTGGAAAGAGGAGCGACCCAGGGATGTGTGTGCTTTGGGGACCTTTAACAGAACGTGACTGGCAGAACGGGTGTTGTATGTGGAGGATGAGGGCTGCAGTAGGTATCTCAGATAGGGGGGAGTGAGGCCTAAAAGGTTTTTGTAAATAAGCATCAACCAGTGGGTCTTGCGACGGGTATACAGAGATGACCAGTTTACAGAGGAATATAGAGTGCAGTGATGTGTCCTATAAGGAGCATTGGTGGCAAATCTGATGGCTGAATGGTAAAGAACATCTAGCCGCTCGAGAGCACCCTTACCTGCCAATCTATAAAGTAAGTCTCCGTAATCTAGCATGGGTAGGATGATCATCTGAATCAGGGTTAGTTTGGCAGCTGGGGTGAAAGAGGAGCGATTACAATAGAGGAAACCAAGTCTAGATTTAACCTTAGCCTGCAGCTTTGATATGTGCTGAGAGAAGGACAGTGTACTGTCTCGCCATACTCCCAAGTACTTGTATGAGGTGACTACCTCAAGCTCTAAACCCTCAGAGGTAGTAATCACACCGGTGGGGAGAGGGGTATTCTTCTTGCCAAACCACATGACCTTTGTTTTGGAGGTGTTCAGAACAAGGTTATGAAATTGGCCTATAACAGTTAGGATTAGCTTGATCTCTCCTTTAAATAAAGGACACACCGTGGCTGCCTTCCAAGCAATGGGAACCTCCCCAGAGAGGAGAGACAGGTTAAAAAGGTCAGAGACAGGCTTGGTGATGATAGGGGCTGCAACCTTAAAGAAGAAAGGGTCTAAACCATCTGACCCAGATCGTTTTTTGGTGTCAAGTTTAAGGAGCTCCTTTAGCACCTCAGACTCCGTGACCGCCTGCAGGGAGAAACTTTGTAGCGGGGCAGGGGAAAAAGAGGGAGACGCATCGGGGCTAGTCCCATTAGAAGGACTTGGAGATGAGGAAATGTTGGACGGGCAAGGAGGCATGGCTGAGTCAAATAGGAATCCTGACTTAATGAAGTGGCATGTGAGATGGCATTGTCAATGGAGTTAGCTTCCAATAACATCAGGGAGTTTTCAGGGAAAGCAAAAGAGGCTCAATCGGTAAATGCAGTGAATAAAAATGCTAAAACATTTCCCAGGACAGGAAAAGGATAGTTAAAGTGCAGCAATGACAATTGATAGAAACAGTATTAAAGAATGACACAAGACAAGAGAATGCTGGTCAGTAACCATACTGCAGGTGCAGAGGAAATCATTCTGCTCATGATTGCAGATTCAAAAATGAGAAATGCCATGTCTGTTCTAAAGTTGGACACATAGGCCCGTGCATGTAGGAACCGCAGAGCAGGACAGACACAGTATGTTGATACTGCTGAGAGCAATGACAAGAGTAAGGAGGATGATTCAGGGCTGTTTGGGGTGTATATAGTTTACACTACCTCCAATGGGAAAAAGGGCATTACAATGAATGTCACTTTGGATGGAAAGGACTTGGATATGCAGTTAGACACAGGGGCTGCTGTCTCTCTGGTCTCGTAAGTGTGTTACCATGATGCTCTGTCTCACCCGCCGTTAAAGAAAACACAGTTACAGCTGACTACCTACTCAGGTGAGAAAATTCCTTTGCTAGGGTATGTTAAAGTGCCAGTGCAGTACAAAAAAAAAGTGACTTTGCCATTGGTCATTGTTAAAGGAGACAGACCTGCACTGATGGGCCATAACTGGCTAGAGAAAATACAGTTGAACTGGCAGGACATCTTTTCAGTGGAAAAGGCTGTGACAGACACAGACCCGGCAGTCAAAGCTGTACTACAGCACCTCCAGGTGGTGTTTTCAGAAGGGCCAAATTTCATAAAAGATTTCATAGCAAAGATCAGGACACGCCCCGACGCTCAGCCCATTTTCCAGAAGGCAAGACCAGTGCCATACGCATTGAAGGAAGCGGTGGACAAAGAGTTGGATAGGCTCGAGGAGACAAAGACTGGGCCGCGCCAATAGTCATCGTTCCAAAGAGTGACAAATCCATTCGGATATGTGGCGATTATAAGGTCACCATCAACCAGAGAGTGGAAGAGGATACTTACCCCTTACCAAACACTGAAGACTTATTCGCTACACTAGCTGGATGGACATCATTCAGCAAGTTAGATCTCTCGCACGCCTACCAGCAGCTCCAGTTGGACACAGATTCTGAGAAATATCTGACAATCAACACTCACCATGGGCTGTACAGGTATCAATGCCTCAGCTACAGTGTCTCAAGTGCTCCTTCAATCTTTCAGTCGGTCATGGAAAAGATCCTATAGGGAATCAAACATGTCACCTGTTTTAAGGATTACACCCTCATCACAGCTGATTCTAAGGAGGAACATCTGAAAAAGCTGGATGAAGTGCTCAAATGTCTGGAGAGGCAAGTTTTTACAAAGCAGCATGGAATACTTTGGTCATCAGATTGACAAGGAAGGACTGCATCCCACAGACGAAAAAGTTGGAGCCATCGTCAAAGCACCCAAGCCAACCAACGTAAGAACTGAAGTCATTCCTAGGCCTGCTAAACCATTATGGAAGATTCCTATCGAACCTGTCAACCTTGCTCCAGACGTTGCACAACCTGCTGAGAATAGAAGAACCATGGAGTTGGACTTCCGCATGTGACGCAGCGTTTGAGAAAAGCAAACAGCTGCTTCTACAGAGTAATGTCCTGGTGCATTACAACACCCAAATGACCCCTGAAGCTTGCCTGCGACGCATCACCATATGGTGTGGACGCCGTGATCTCCCACATCATGGACAATGGAGAAGAAAAACCCATTGTCTTTGCTTCACGGACGCTATCAGACGCAGAAAAGAATTACGCCCTGATTGAAAAAGAGGCCATGTCAATCATCTTTGGAGTAAAGAAGTTCCATAAGAAAGTTCACGTTAATCACAGATCACAAGCCTTTGCTGGCTATCTTGCTGGATATCTGCAGTTCCAACCTTAGCAGCATTGAGAATGCAAAGATGGGCACTCATACTCATGGAGTACAACTACGACATCGATTACCGAAAGTCAACTGATCACAGTAACGCAGACACGTTGTCAAGACTGCCAAGAGAAGACAAAGACATCACAGCTGAGGAGGGAAGCACATTCTACTTCTCACAAGTGGATGAGCTGCCAGTGTGTGCAAAAGAAAAGTACAAGAAAAGATGTGCTACTCAGCAAAGTGTGGAGTTACACTGTAAATGGGTGGCCAAGCTACGTGACGGATGAAGCACTGCAACCATACTTCATGCGAAGACACGAGTTGGCTGAAGATCAAGGCTGTGTACTCTGGGGTTTGCGAGTGATCATACCCCCAGCACTCAGACAGAGACTGTTGGAGGACTTTCACCACGAACATCCTGGCATCTGTCGTGTGAAGGCCTTAGACCGTAGCTACATCTGGTGGCCAGGGTTGGACAGTGACATAGAGAAGAAAGAGTTGTCAAATCTGCCAAACAGTACAGAAGATTCCAGCTGTAACACCACTAAATGTTTGGAGATGGCCCGAGAGGGTGTGGCAGAGAATTCACATCGACTTTACTGAAAAGGACTAGCAGTACTTTTAAGTGATCATCGACAGCCATTCAAAGTGGTTGGAGGTTTTTCACATGACTTCAATGACATCAATGAACCTCATCGAAAAGCTACAAAGCCTGTTCGCAACCTATAGATTGTGCGAAGAAGTTGTCTCTGATAATGGACCCGAGCTGGTTTCTTCAGATTTCAAACCCTTGTTCCTGCCTACCATCCTGTCTCGAATGGCGCAGCAGAAAGGTCAGTCCAGATACTCAAGTGAGCTCTGATGAAAAATTTATTGGAGGACAACAGACAATCTACTGTCTCTCTCAAGCATCGCTTATCCAACTTTCTGCTCATGTACCGCAGTACCCCCCCATACAGTCACAGGTCGGACCCCTGCTGAGCTCTTCCTTCTCCGACCTGACTTAGCTAAAACAGTGGAAGAAAAACAAGGCAAACAAAAGAAACACCATGACCATGGTGGACTACACCTTCAGGTTTTCCAAGAGAAAGAACAAGTGCAAATTTGAAATTTCAGAGGAGGGAAAGAGAAATGGATTCAGGCAACGGTAATCTGGAGACTGGGACCTGTGACTTACCTCATCTAGGACGGACAGAGAAAACACACTGTTCACTTGGACCACATGTTGCCATGGAGAGGTGCGAAATGGAACTACTTACCTGAGGACAGAGAGCCGTCATCCCCAGAGGACATCCCTCGATATCCCACGTACAGCTCCAGTCCTGACCGATATCTCACGGAAAGCTACAGTCCTGACCGCTCACCAACGTTCCCGGACAGCAACCTCAGCCCAAGTCAAGTTGCCCAGCCAACACTGGAAACTGGAAACTTACCAACTCCAGCTCCAGTAAGCTCAAGGAGTGCCACAAAGCAGCCTGCGTAGCGTAGGTATCCTGAAAGGATCCGTGATGTTCCTAAAATACTTTACCTGTAAATAACAAAAACAAAAGACTGTTCAGTTAAAAGAGACTGTTGAGTTCAAAGACTGAAAAAGAAAAAAGGGAAAACAATGACATTCTTAGTTCAGTTATTGAAAAAACAAAACAAATGGAACCTGTTGACATGTATTGATTTCTGTTAAAATGAATAGAGCTTACAATTATTGTAATGCTTAAAATGTATATGTGAAATGTTACTGGGTAAAATTTTAAGGGGAAGGAGTGTAATACATTGTATCTAGGCAGATTACCATGTTAAAAGACCAATCATCACTTATCTGATTGGTTAATCCTGTGACCTCTTAACTGATACGCTGATAGAAGGTGCTGCCTTGAACATGCCCCTGTGTTGTACTACCATGATTTGGATTAGTAAAGTTTCCCAACGGAGCTCCTCTCTCCTGTCCAGTTATTAGTTATTCTATAGGTGATAGAACTTAAAATACTACATTGACAATATGCACAAGTGGGGTTTGAACCTGCAATGTCTGCTTCCCAAGCTTTTGTATCCTCTGCACCACCAGGGAAGCGTTCTTACATCTTCTTTTTTTCAGTGTGGTCAATCAAGAATTCAAATAAAATCAAATGTATTTATAAAGCCCTTTTTACATCAGCAGATGTCACAAAGTGCTTATACAGAAACCCAGCCTAAAACCCAAACAGCAAGCAATGCAGATGTAGAAGCACGGTGGCTGGGAAAAACTCCCTAGAAAGGCAGGAACCTAGGAAGAAACCTAGAGAGGAACCAGGCTCTGAGGGGTGGCCAGTCCTCTTCTGGCTGTGCTGGGTGGAGATTATAAGAGTACATTGCCATTAAGGCCAGATCGTTCTTCAAGATGTTCAAACGTTCATATATGACCAGCAGGGTCAAATAAAAATCACAGTGGTTGTAGAGGGTGCAACAGGTCAGCTCCTCAGGAGTAAATGTCAGTTGGCTTTTCATAGCCGAGCATTCAGAGGTTGAGACAGCAGGCACAGTAGAGAGAGAGGGGGAGGGAGGGAGAGAGAGGGTCTAAAACAGCAGGGTAGCACGTCCGGTGAACAGGTCAGGGTTCCATAGCTGCAGGCAGAACAGTTGAAACTGGAGCAGCAGCATGACAAGGTGGACTGGTGACAGCCAGGAGTCATCAGGCCAGGTAGTCCTGTGGCCCTGTCCGACAATACCCCCGGACAGGGCCAATCAGGCAGAATATAACCCCACCCACTTTGCCAAAGCACAGCCCCCACACCACTAGAGGGATATCAACAGACCACCAACTTACTACCCTGAGACAAGGCTGAGTATAGCCCACGAATATCTCCTCCACTGCACGAGGCCAGGAAGATCATGTCAGTGACTCAACCCACTCAAGTCGAGTACAGCGAAAAAAGCCTGGCACGACAGGAGGCACGGCAAGGAAGAGCACTAGTAAGCCAGTGACTCAGCCCCCGTAATATGGTCAGAGGCAGAGAATCCCAGTGGAGAGAGGGGAGCCGGCCAGGAAGAGACAGCAAGGGTGGTTCATCACTCCAGTGCCTTATTGTTCACCTTCGCACCCCTGTGCCAGACTACACTCAATCATAGGACCTACTGAAGAGATTAGACTTTAGTAAAGACTTAAAGGTCAAGACCGAGTCTGCATCTCACACATGGATAGGCCGACAATTCCATAAAACTGTAGCTCTATAGGAGAAGGCCCTGCCTCCAGCTGTTTGCTTAGACATTCTAGGGACAATAAGGAGGCCTGCGTCTTGTGATCGTAGCGTATGTGTAGGTATGTACGGCCGGGCCAAATCAGAGCGATAGGTAGGAGCAAGTCCATTTAATGCTTTGTAGGTTATCAGTAAAACCTTGAAATCAGCCCTAGCCTTAACAGGAAGCCAGTGTAGAGAGAATAGCACTGGAGTAATATGATCAAATATTTTGGTTCTAGTCAAGATTCTAGCAGCCGTATTTAGCACTAACTGAAGTTTATTTAGTCCTTTATCCGGGTAGCCGGAGAGTAGAGCATTGCAGTAGTCTAATCTAGAAGTGACAAAAGCATGGATTCGTTTTTCCGCATCATTTTTGGAAAAAAAGGTTCAGATTTTTGCAATTTTACGAAGATGGAAAAAAGCTGCCCTTGAAATATTCTTGATATGTTCGTCAAAAGAGAGATCAGGTTCCAGAGTAACTACGAGATCCTTCACAGTTTTATTTGAGACAACTGTACAACCATCAAGATTAATTGTCAGATCTCTTTGTTTCTTGGGACCTAGAACTAGCATCTCTGTTTTGTCCGAGTTTAAGAGTACAACATTTGCCGCCTTCCACTTCCTTATGTCTGAAACACATGCTTCCAGGATAGGCAATTTTGGGGCTTCAACATGTGTCATCGAAATGTAGAGCTATGTGTCGTCTGCATAGCAGTGAAAGTTGACATTGTGTTTCCGAATGAGATCACCAAGAAGTAGAATATATAGTGAAAACAATAGTGGTCCTAAAACAAAACCTTGAGGAACACCAAAATGTACAATTGATTTGTCAGAAGACAACCATCCACAGAGACAAACTGATATCTTTCCGACAGATAAGATCTAAACCAGGCGAGAACTTGTCAGTGTAGACCAATTAGGGTTTCCAATCTCTCCAAAAGAATGTGGGGATCGATGGTGTCAAAAGCGGCACTAAGGTCTAGGAGCACGAGGACAGATACAGAGCCTTAGTCTGACACCATTAAAAGGTAATTTACCGCCTTCACGAGTGCAGTCTCAGTACTATGATGGGGTTTAAAACCAGACTGGAGCGTTTCGTATACATTATTTGTCTTCAGGCAGTGAGTTGCTGTGCAACAGCTATTATTTTTAACTTTTTTGAGGAATGGGAAATTCGAGGTCAAGGTTTGGCTTTTTCAGGAGAGGCTTTATTACTGACACTTTTATTGAGTTTGGTACACATCCAGAGGATACGGAGCCGTTTATTATGTTCAACATAGGAGGGCCAAGAACAGGAAGTAGCTCTTCTAGTAGTTTAGTTGGAATAGGGTCCAGTAGGTAGCTGGAAGTTTTAGAGGCCATTACTATTTTCATGAATGTAGAGAGATACAGGATTAAAAAACTTGAGTGTCTCCATTGATCTTAGGTCCTGGCAGTTCTGTGCAGACTCAGGACAACTGAGTTTTGGAGAAATACGCAGATTCAAAGAGGAGTCCGTAATTTGCTTTCTAATGATCATGATATTTTTCTCTAAGAAGTTAGTGAATTAATCACTGCTGAAGTGAAGGCCATCCTCTCTTGGGGAATGCTGCTTTTTAGTTAGTTTCGCAACAGTATCAAAAATACATTTGGGATAGTTTTTATTCTCCCTAATTAGGTTGGAAAAGTAGGCTGATCGAGCGGCAGTGAGGGCTCTTCGATATTGCACGGTACTGTCTTTCCAAGCTAGTCGGAAGACTTCGAGTTTGGTGGAGCGCCATTTCTGTTCCAATTTTCTGGAAATTGCTTCAAGGCTCAGGTATTTTCTGTATACCAGGGAGCTGATTTCTTGTGACAAATGATTTTTGTTTTTAGAGGTGCGACTGCATCTAGCGTATAACGCAAGGTTAAATTTAGATAATTGGTTAGGTGGTTAACTGATTTTTGTACTCCGACGTCCTTGCATCCTATTTAAACTTCTTAGACATAGCTAACCAAGGGAAATACAGGTAAGTGGGTTATTCACCATCACTTCACCCATCCTCTTTATATACTGCTACTTCTGGGCCTATATTTACAAGGTATCCAAGACTATGAGTGCGGATCTAGGATCACTTTTGCTTTTCAGATCATGAAAAATAAGCCAGGGGGACCATATCAAGTGTCTCAAAGTAATAATTATATCGGGTGCGTTTTTAAAAAGTTGAACAGTCCATTCTTACACTGTTTTATTTTTTACGGTTATTAAATTCTACATTTGACTGGATTTATACATCTGGAAGAAATAAAGACATCCTCTCTTTTAGTAGAGTATATCTGAGCCTGTCAGGGCGTCAGTGAAATGCGGTAGGCGAAGTCAAGCGCAGGACACAGAGCTAATCAGAAGACGTACTTTACTCGAAGGTAAAATAAAGAACAACAACCTCCACACAGGGAGGGAACAAACCCGCACACTAACGACAGCCGAAACATGAACAAACACACACAACACACAGTGTGAGACAGAGGGTTAAATAGGTAAGACATCACTACATAATGGGAAACAGGTGTGACGAATAAAGACAGAACAAGTCGAACATAGATACATGGATCGGTAGCAGCTAGTACTCCGGTGACGACGAACGCCGAAGCCTGCCCGAGCAAGGAGGAGGGGCAGCCTCGGCTGAATCCGTGACAGAGCCTCAATTTCCCAAAAAATAAATAAACAATTACATAGTTAAAATATGGTAAATGTGGTATTGAACCTGCAAGCAGATCATTAGCCCTCTGTACCACCAAGGTATAGTGATGACCTTTTCGTCAGTCAAATATGCTTAATGAGGACACAGAACACAATTTCTGAGTTAATAAAACATTGTGTAAAAATGTACTGTTCAACTTAAAAACACGCATCTGATATAATACTTACTTTGAGGCACTTGATATACATTTACGTCATTTAGCAGACGCTCTTATCCAGAGCGGCTTACAGGAGCAATTAGGGTTAAGTGCCTTGCTTAAGGGCACATCGACAGATTTTTCACCTAGTCAGCTTGGGGATTAGAACCAGCGACCTTTCGGTTATTGACACAACGCTCTTACCCACTAAGCTACCTGCCGCCCCATATAGTCATTGCTGCCTTATGTTTCATGATCTGAAAAGTCATCCTTGCTCAGCACTCATAGTCTTGGATACCTTGTAAATATGGTAAGTACACAGCATATGTAAGTACACAGCATATGAAGAGGATGGGTGAAGTGATGGTGAATAACCCAGCTACCAGTATTTCCCTGGGTTAGTTATGTCTAAGAAGGCTAAAAAGGAAACATGAAGTTCTGATTGACCATACTGGCATGGCTATATACTGAAAAAAATAAGGTTTATGAGAGATTCCCTGGTGCTGCCATTGCTGGTTCAAATCCCACATGTGCAAATTGTCAACACATGAGATGTAACCATCTTTTGGCTGTCATTTACTATTAGGTAAAACTTTAATATAACATGTTCTGTACCGGTACCCCCGGTATGTAGCCTCACTACTGTTATTTTACTTCAGCTCTTTAATTATTTTAATTTTTAATTTTTTACTTAGATATTTTTTACTTAACACTTATTTTTCTTAAAACTGCATTGTTGGTTAAGGGCTTGTAAGTAAGCATTTCACTGTAGCTATACATTTGATATTTCTAAGATACTTATACATTTTACACCTTTAAAACCTTTGTTTTAAGTGTTTTATTTTGGGACCGCGGTGTTGGTGCTGTTCCTTATACACCGTGTTCGACTGGATTTGACCTTATCCTGGAGCTGACATTAGCAGGCTAGCCCTGGCTAGCTCCGACTAGCTAGGTTACCTGGCTGTCACTGGCAAAGCTTTTCAGCTTTTCATGTTGAGGTTGGCTCTTGTAGCCGTACCGCTGTTTCTGACCTGAGTATAAGCATGTTAGACCCTTCTATTTCGGAGTCGAATCCGGAGATGGAAATTGTAGTCAATAGGAAGAGTAGACTGACCTACAGTGCATTCAGAAAGTATTCAGACCCCTTCCCCTTTTCCACATTTTGTTACGTTACAGCCTTATTCTGAAATTGATTCAATTGATTATTTTTCTCATCAATCTACACACAATAAACCATAATGACGAAGAGAAAACTGTTTTTTTTAGACATTTTTTGCAAATTTATTAAAAATAAAAAACATAAATAAGTATTCAGACCCTTTGCTATAACACTTGAAATTGAGCTTAGGTGCATCCTGTTTCCATTGATCATCCCTGAGATGTTTCTACAACTTGATTGGAGTCCATCTATGGTAAATTCAATTCATTGGACATGATCTGAAAAGGCACACACCTGTTTATATAAGGTCCCACAGTTGACAGTGCATGTCAGAGCAAAAACCAAGCCATGAGGTCAAATGAATTGTCCGTGGAGCTCCGAGACAGGATTGTGTCAAGGCACAGATCTGGGGAAGGGTATCAAAACATTTCTGCAGCATTGAAGGTCCCCCAAAACACAGTGGCCTCCATCATTCTTAAATGACAGAAGTTTGGAACCACCAAGACTCTTCCTAGAGCTGGCCGCCCGGACAAACTGAGCAATCGGGGGAAAAGGGCCTTGGTCAGAGAGGTGACCAAGAACACGATGGTCACTCTGACAGAGCTCCAGAGTTCCTCTGTGGAGATTGGAAAACCTTCCAGAAGGACAACCATCTCTGCAGCACTCCACCAATCAGGCCTTTATGGTAGAGTGGCCAGACTGAAGCCACTCCACAGTAAAAGGCCCATGACAGCCCACTTGGAGTTTGCCAAAAGGCACCTAAAGGACTCTCAGACCATGAGAAACAAGATTCCCTGGTCTGATGAAACCAAGATTGAACTCTTTGGCTTGAATGCCAAGCATCACGTCTGGAGGAAACCTGGCACCATCCCAACGGTGAAGCATGGTGGGGGCAGCAGCATCATGCTGTGGGGATGTTTTTCAGCAGCAGGGACTGGGATACTAGTCAGGATTGAGGGAAATATGAACGGAGCAAGTACAGAGAGATCCTTAATGAAAACCTGCTCCAGAGCACTCAGGACCTCAGACTGGGGGCAAAGTTTCACCTTCCAACAGGACAACGACCCTAAGCACACAGCCAAGACAACGCAGGAGTGGCTTCGGGACAAGTCTCTGAATGTCCTTGAGTGGCCCAGCCAGAGCCCGATCGAACATCTCTGGAGAGACCTGAAAATAGCTGTGCAGCGATGCTCCCCATCCAACCTGACAGAGCTTGAGAGGATATGGAGAGACGAATGGGAGAAACTCCCCAAATACAGGTGTGCCAAGCTTGTAGCGTCATACTGAAGAAGACTTGAGGCTGTAATCGCTGCCAAAGGTACTTCAACAAAGTACTGAGTAAAGGGTCTGAATACTTATGTAAATGTTATTTCAGTTGTTGTTTTTTATTTTTTTGCAAAAAGTTATAAAAACCTGTTTTTGCTTTGTCATTATGGCGTATTGTGTGTAGATTGATGAGGGGGAAAAAACTATTTAATCAATTTTAGAATAAGGCTGTAACGTAACAAAATGTGGAAAAAGTCAAGGGGTCTGAATACTTGTGATAAATGCAAACAACTCCGTGACTCAAAGGAGAGGATCATTGAGCTACTAGAAGAGAATAAGGTCCTAAGAGAACGTCTTGCTCTCGCTAAAGAGACTTCAAGACTGCATGCTGTTTTTAATGCGACAATTCTGAATGACCGAGGGGAAAATCCAGGGTGCTCTACGAGATTGGGCTCTTCTGCAGTAGCTACTGAGGATAATACCTTGAACCACTTTCCCATGTTAACACATCCCACTGAGGAGAACCGGAGATCTACTGCATTTTGCTCCAACGCATTGTCCCTCTCAACCTCTCGTCTAGCCATTTTTATCTCTGAGCCCTCTGACTTCACAGGGGGCCTCTGACGAGGACCTACTCCGCCCCCCACGTTCTTCCCCCTCAGCCTCTGGTCCTGGGTTACTGAGCCGGCCATCCCCTGGAGCAACGCACAGACCACGTCCCACAGGACCCCCCCCCTGCCGTACATCAGCCATTCAGGGTCTCTGGCTCAGTGCAACCTGGGAATCCACAACCCCCTCCCCTCAAGGTAGCTATCGTCGGGAGTTCCATTGTCCAGGATGTGGTGGTTGCCGGTGCAAACACTTTCTGCTTCCCTGGAGTCAGGGTGTGTGACATTACTTGGAGCTTAGACCGAAACACAGAGCTTCACACGATAGTCGTGCATGCCGGTACGAACGGCATCAGGCTGTGGCAATGGGGGAAGTTGAGACGGGAGGAACAGGCTATTGGCTACTGGCAAGCGTAATATATTTTCTGGCCCTATTCCTACACACGATCGTGGAGTTGATCGTTTCTCCTGACTATTTTCAATGGAATCTTGGATGAAGTCAAAACTGCTCTGAAAGAGTGTTGAATATTATTGCCAATTTCAACTTATTTTGGGAACATCCTCAGTTCTTGCACTTGAACAGGAGAGGAGCTAGGATGCTGAGTGCTAATATCGAAGAGGTGCTACAAAAATGATGGGATGTCAGTAACCCGCAACAGGTAACCCTCATTGACTCTTGTTTTAATCCACTTCCTTGTTCAACGCATAGGAGTAATGATTCAGTTCTAGGCAATCTTGTATCTGTTCCAATTCAAGCCAACCCCATAGTATTTTCTAATAAGGGGTTACCTGCTGAACATGGCATGTTCGTATTAGAAACTCTGTCTGATCTGAAATCCCGCAGCTGCGGCCTTGGACATGATTCATGTAAATGCCAGAAGTTTGATTTAGAAAATGTATCTTATTCAGAGGAGGGGGCGTCGCCATATACATAAAGAGCAACTTAAATGTTTCTGTATCCATTACCGCCTCTCTACCTAAGCAATTTGAATGTCTAGTCCTAAATGTGGGCCTTGGTAATAATGCCCATCTGACGCTAGTGGGAATTTATCACCCTCCTTATGTGCTCTTAGCAAATTGTCTGACCTGCTCTCTAACTATGCTATATCCAAATTATTAATGTGGGTGATCTTAATCTGTATGGGTTGATGCCAGTATCTGATAGGCTGAAAGATATTTGTACTGCCTGTATAAGAGATGCTAAGCTACCTAAATCTCGCTAACACACTATTACAAAGATAAATTATAGGAATTTTAATGAGCAAAATGTTTTGTCTGAGCTGGGTTTGAGTGACTGGTGGGTTATGCTAACTTTCAGTGAATCAGATAAGGCCCTTAATTGTTTTATTTCCCTGTTTAACTATGTTGCAGAATAGCATGCACCGTACAAAAGGTTAAGGATAAAAGAAAAATCGTATCCTTGGTTCACACATGAACTGTCTGAGAAATTACAGGAAATACATTTTGCTTGGGCTAAGGTTAGACTGACTGATTATATGTCTGATTAGCAGTCTTTCAGACATTTGAGAAATAGATGTCTATCTCTGGTTAGAAAAGCAGAATCAACATATTTCTTGAATTGTGTATAGGGGAGTGGTGGTAAGCCAGCAAAGTTCTGGAAAGTGGTCAAATCTTTTAAACAAAACTCCACCCCCTCGTTGCCCCATAAGGTTTTGACAGACTCTGGTCCCATACTTGACCAAAGAAAAAACTTTTTTTTGTTGCTTCAGCTGGCCAGCTGTTTGAAAGGATAGTCTATGAAAATGTTTCTCATTCCACTACAGGGAGTCCTTTAGTCACCTCAGAAAAGATTGTAGAGAATTATGCTCTAACAGACTCACATACTTTATTTTCATTTAAATGATTTGATGTCTATGATGTATTTAAGTGCCTTGCTAAAGATAGATCCACAGGGGCTGATTCACTTGACCCCTTCTTACTACAGCTCTCTGCCCCACTCATTGTTGAACCTTTAACATGTATTTTTAATTGCTACTGGTGTTATCCCTAAGATTTGGAAAACGGCACGTCCTCCCCCTACATAAAGGTGGAGATCCTTCTAACTTGGAAATTGGGCGGTAGTTATCTAAGTTATCTTGCCTTGCCAAGGTATTAGAATCCCTGACCAACTCCCAGCTAATAACTTTTTTAACTAAATATGCACCAATCTGGTTTTAGATCTGGACATAGCACTGTTTCAACAACTATGCTTGTTTTAGATGATGTGTTGAATTGCCTAAATCATAAAAAACATTGTGCTGCCTTATTTAAATACTTTTCCTAGGCATTCGACACAGTTGACGATTCACTACTCATTCAAAAACTGTCTGAAATGGGCCTGGATAAGTAGTCTTGCAAATGTTTTAAGAACTATTTGACAGACAGGACACAATGTGTGCTTTCTGATGGTGTCGGTCACATCCACTCCCGCTCCCCCGCTCCGGGGCTCTCGACGTCACCGGTCTACTAACCACCGGCAAGCGCCTACTCCAACTACGACAGGATGGTCAAACCACGGCGGAGTACGCGCTCACCTTTCGAACAGTGGCAGCATCCAGCGGATGGAATGAGGCGGTGCTCCGCACCCTATTCAGAAGAGGATTGCGCGAAGAGGTCCAGACGGAGTTGGCATGCTGAGACGACAACCTATCCTTGGACGCCCTCATCGCGATGGCCATCCGTCTGGATAACCTTCTTCGGGAGCGTCGGTACCGCCATCACCTCTCTCCCTCCTCCATTGATCATTCTGAGTCAGAGCCTGAAATCATGGAGGTGGGGGCCACACGTCTCTCCACGGCTGAGCGATGCCGTCGTAGACAGCTGGGGCTCTGTCCTTATTGCGGACAGGAGGGGCACCAGCTTCAAAAGTGTCCGGTACGTTCTAAGTTCGGAGTCCACAGGAGCAGAGGGACAGCCACGTGATCATCCGTCTCCTGGGTTAGGCGTCAGTATTCCATCATATCATCACTTTCCGCCAAACCTTTCCTAGTAACGATTTCACTGGCTGGCGGTCCTTTATGTTTTGTTTCTACAGCTCTAGTGGACTCCGGTGCCGCGGGGAATTTTATTGACCAGACCCTCGCCTCCTCCCTTAACATCACCTCATACCCACTCTCCTCTCCTTGGCCGGTTCAAGCACTGGATAGTCAACCACTGGGATCCGGGACAATCACACACATCACATCACAGCACCACTCACCCTCACCGTGGAATCCATATATCAAGAAAGTCTTCCCTTCCTCATAATCAGTGCACCCGTACACAAGATCATCCTCTGCCTCCCATGGCTTCAATGTCATAACCCCACCATCTCATGGCCGAGGATGGAAATCACAGACTGGGCACCCTTTCCCTGAGGTTCCACGTCGGTTGAGAGTCCTGTGGTTGCTCTTCAGCCCAACATCCCGGAGGTATACCAAGATCTTTGGGAGGTTTTTCCAAGACCCGCGCCACCTGTCTCCCTCCTCATCATCCCTGGGACTGTGCCATTGTGGGTCATTTTTGGTTAACTACTCTATCTCACTTAGGGGCAGACAACATAAAAACCAACTATATGAATTATGCATGTTGTAGAATGAAATGCCTATATGCCTTAAATGCTTATAGATTAAGAACCAATTAAAGGGTTAAAACAGAGCAGATACATTTCTTTAGTGCAAATGCTGTGCTTCTGATAAGAATGGTTCCCTCTAATTCCCCGCAGCTGGTCTGGTTATGTCAATGACATGTGATGGAGATACAACTTCTTGTTGTGGCTGTGTGGAGATAGGAGTAACAATGGAACTAGTGTTATCACTTGTTTGTGCTTATGACCTGACACACATAGTTACATGCACATAGTCACAAGGAAAAACCATAGTGGCTCAGGGTCCTGGGAGGATGGCTGTGTTGGTAAAGTGTTAAATGTATGTGGTTGAGAATGGTTGATGGACATGACATGTTTAAACCATGTTTAAGTATTAATTGATATGTTTATAATGTGTTATGAAATGATAAAGGTAAAACAGAATGAACACGATTGATACTTTGTACTCCAGATGCATGCCTGGATAGTGAATATAGTCAATACAGAGTGTGATTGTTCTTTAACGTACGTATGTATATAATTTTTTGAGACACGCCACTAATAAGAGACAGAAGCTCCACTTAGAGAAACGCACGTAGCCTCGTGAGTAACCAACATGTGACACTGAAAGATGTTATTCATTCACATAGAGAGGAGTAACTATGTATGTTGTATAAGCTTGACTATGCATTTGTGTCTGTATAAAAGGAGAGCTCCGAGTCATGGCAAGCAGCTACTCCATGGACCAGCTCGGCTTTCGTTGCTTCGTGTAATAAAAGTCTATCTTGATTCAACAAAAACTCTGGAAGAACTTTTGATTGTTAATAAGTATAGTGATAATTATCCACAACAACATCGACCTTCTTGCAGGCTCTGCGCCTCCGCGCGGCCGCATCTACCCTCTGTCGGTGGCCGAAACCAAGGCTATGGAGGAGTACATCCAGGAGGCTCTCCAGCAGGGTTTAATTTGCACGTCCACCTCCCCTGCGTCGGCAGGCTTCTTCTTCGTGGCCAAGAAGGACGGAGGATTGTGCCCGTGCATCGATTACAGAAATCTGAATTCCATCACCACGAAGTACCACTACCATCTCCCGTTGGTGCCGACTGCGATTAAACAACTCTGTGGGGCCCGGTTTTTCACCAAGTTGGACCTGTGGAGTGCCTACAATTAGATCCGTATCCGGGAGGGGGATGAATGGAAGTCGGCCTTCAGCACGATGTCTGGTCACTACGAGTACTTGGTGATGCCTTTTGGATTAGCCAATGATCCATCAGTGTTCCAGGCATTCGTCAACGAGGTGTTCCGGGACATGCTTGTACGCCAGGTGGTCGTGTATATTGACGACATCCTGGTCTACTCGGCTACCTTGGAGGAGCAACATCGCTCACGTCCGAGTAGTCCTGTAACGCCTCCTGGCCAACCACCTGTACGTCAAGGCGGAGAAGTGCCAATTCCATCAGGAGGAGGTCTCCTTTTTGGGTTACCAGATCAGCCCGCAAGGAGTCATGATGGATGAGAGGAAGGTGGATGTTGTCAGGTCATGGCCAGTCCCAACCACCATAAAGGGGTTAC